TTTGGCACAGAAACAACTATGCCTCTAATTTATAAAACTTGCTGAGTATTATTTTTAAACTTTTTAATAACATCTTCTTAAAATACTTTCTTTTCCTTAAAGCTTTTAAAATGCAACCAATGCAAAAGTTTAGATCTAAAGAAGTAAACTCCACTTGATTTTAGTGATGGTGCTAACATTTGCATTTTCTTGTCTTGGAAATATAAATCGGAGGCACTTGCCTCAGGTACAAGAGTAGCTTTACAAGTCCAAAGGTTCTTCCGTGGCTCATAGCACACATGCTATCTCACATCCTCTATACCACCTGGTCTTCATCTCCTGATGCTAGAGAACAGAAGTTCTCTCATACATGGCCCACTGTTGATTCTCACATGTATCTGATAAAGGAGCATATATTTCAGGTACAAATTACAGTAGTGCCCCCTGCTGAATACAAAAACAGCTGGGCTACAGAGAAACTGTGTTGCTCGATCAGCCAGGAGAGAATGGGTATTTAATAATTTACTTAGAAATTCAACTCTCCACTGAATGTCTTATTCATTTACAATGTTTTAATCCCACTTTTCATTCCAGAGACCTTCAAGGTGGCTTTTGATGACTGGAGAGTGGAACTCCTAGGTTGGAATTCAATACCAGTGGTACGGCAATGATTCCAGCAGCACAAGGATTTCTGCCTGCACAATAGGATGTTCTCCTCTTCTCCTTCTCCCCCACGTACCCTTAAATCTGTTCTAGGGGTTCCCTCAACCACCTGGTGATGTTTAGAGGGAGCAGGGCCTGCAGGGGAGGGGAGTTCCATTGCACAGGAGGGAATCTATGTGCTGGCAGGACACATTCGTAGAATACTATCCCTAGTATTTTGTATATTAGTATATACAAAACACCTTTCTTAGATGACAACTATAGTGACATAAGGAATTGCTCCTGTGATTTATATGCCATGAACTGGTTGCCTCATTGGCACTTAACCACAATAATGTTCCTTGCCCCTTCCCCCTTTCTTCCCTTATCCTGCTTTTTATTGTCTTACCTACTTCAGTGAAGACAAAAGACTAGACCAGCTACCAAACAATGATGACATGAATTATTAGGAGCTCCTTTTGTTTCAGGTAATTTGATAACAGCTATAGAGCTCATATATTTGTTTTCCTGGATTTCAAAGTGTGTGCTTTTTTAAATTTTTATTATAAATTATTATTTCTCTATATTTTATCATTTTGTTATTGTTAAAGGTAATAGAGAATCACAGTTACTTACTGGTTTAAAAAAACTGAACCTAGCAGGAACCTTAAGACTGAATGATACATTATGACATAAACACGGGGTTCCAAAAAAAAAGGCTTGCCTCCTTTTCATGCAAAAGCCCCCTGACAGCTTTCTGAGGCTAGGCTGTGAGATGGGGAAATGATTGGCAGGTGAGATGGCATTTGCAGGGAGAACTGGTAAACAAAGGAAAGGTTTCTCTGCCCGATTTCCCCCTACAAATACACCTCCTACATTCACATCACCTTGGCAAGAACATATATTTGAACAGGCAACAACCGATTAACACACATCCAAATGATGCACAATCGTACACACACAAATGGTGCTGAACCCAGAAAGGGTGGGGCAGGGCATGTTTATATGTGTTCCGCCAATGGGTGCAGAGGCTGGGGATGAACCCCACACACAAAATGATTGACAACTATAGTTTCACTCATAGGCAATATCAAATTTCAGCCACTGTGGTTGGCCACAGTGGGAAAGATATTGCTGGAGTACATACACCATTGTTCTAATCCAGTAGCATTGTACCATGAGATCTCGCAATAGTATCCCAAAGCAAGGAAGATCTTAAAAGCTCTTTTCGCCCTGGGTAACCCCAAGCAAACGCTTCATTGGAGTTTGACTTGTGTGATACCTTCAAACACAAATTAATAGGTGCCATCTTCATTGCATCATTTTAATAATTCCTCATCTTAATATCTCCAGTACCTTCTTCATTTCAGGGACAACAGGATCCTATTTATACAATTTCAAGGCTATATTCTATCACAAAACAACTTTCCTGTAAAACTTTTCTTTTTAGATACAGGTAGCTGTTGGTCTGCTGCAGTCAAAACAAAATAAAAAAATTCCTTCTAGTAGCTCCTTAGAGACCAACTAAGTTTGTTATTGGTATGAGCTTTCGTGTGCATGCACACTTCTTCAGATACAGTGGTACCTGTAACCTGAAACTGTTCTGTAACCTGAAACTGTTCTTAACCTGAAGCACCACTTTAGCTAATGGGGCCTCCTGCTGCTGTCGCGCCGCCGGAGCACGATTTCTGTTCTCATCGTGCAGCAAAGTTCTTAACCTGAAGCACTATTTCTGGGTTAGCGGAGTCTGTAACCTGAACCATATGTAACCTGAAGCATATGCAATTCAAGGTACCACTGTACACTGAAACAGAAGTCACCAGACCCTTATATAAAGTGAGAGGGTGGGGAGGGGTATTACTCAGAAGGGTGGTGTAATACCCCTCCCCACCCTCTCTGAGTAATTGTAGGGGGTTCAACAAGATGACCCTTGGTTATAGTCAGTTGCTGTAGCTTGTTTATACTTACCCTGCCCCACTGCCCTGCTTACAGTTATGAAGAGTGTTCTTATGTTATGAATGAATCATAGAATCATAGAGTTGGAAGAGACCACAAGGGCCATCGAGTCCAACCCCCTGCCAAGCATGAATGGTTTGTGTCACCATTAAGAAAAAGAGGTGGGAATAGGCCAATATACATATGGACTGTCCCTGGATAAAGTGACTTTTCTTCTTTGAGCTTCTAAGTTTTTAACCTAGCTCAAGGTGTCATCTGAACCCAGATGTTTAACTGATAATCAATCACAGCCAGTCCATTATTTGAAAAATAAGACTTTAGAGCTGTCTTGCCCAAAATGGCAACTAGACATTCCATTTTGGCCACTGAAAGCCTGGTTTAAGGAGCCATTTGGCACCTGGCTTATATATCTGAGTTTCTAACACTGTTGCAGAATAAGGAAAGTACTGCATATATTTCATTATGAGAAATAACAGTGCTTTGACCTTTTGTTTTAAAAATGCTTTCTACTGTCTTTATGCATAATGGGTGAAATAATCTTTCTTTACAGCTGAATAAGATGAAAACTAAGGTATTAGAAAAGAACTTAACAGAGATTGAGAGAGAGAAGTTTCAGAAGGAGACAGGACTGACACTGGTTAAGAAAGTTAAATATTTAGGGGTTAATATGACTGCTAAGAATGTGAATTTATTTAAGGATAATTATGAAAAATGTTGGACTGAAGTGAAAAAAGATTTAGAAATATGGTCAAATTTGAAGCTATCGTTGTTAGGCCGAATTGCTGTGATAAAAATGAATGTATTGCCAAGAATGCTGTTTTTGTTTCAAACGCTGCAAATTTTGGACAAAATGGACTGTTTCAAGAAGTGGCAGAGAGATATCTCCAGATTTGTCTGGCAGGGCAAGAAGCCTCGTATAAAATTTAAGATATTAACTGATGCTAAAGAAAGAGGTGGATTTGCCCTGCCAGACTTAAAACTTTATTATGAATCAGCCGCTTTTTGCTGGCTGAGAGAATGGATGCTTCTTGAAAACACGGATGTTTTGGATTTGGAAGGTTTCAATAATGTATTTGGTTGGCATGCATATTTGTGGTATGATAAGGTTAAAGCACATAAAGCGTTTAAAAACCATATAGTAAGAAAAGCACTGTTTAATGTCTGGATAAGATATAAGGATTTGTTAGAAAATAAAACCCCAAGATGGTTGTCACCAATGGAAGCAAAGGCTCAGAAAAAACTCAATATGGAAGCCAAATGGCCAAAGTATTGGGAAATTTTGGAACAAGAGGGTGACAGATTAAAACTGCAGAGTTTTGATAAATTAAAAAATAGAGTACGAGATTGGCTCCATTATTATCAAATAATGGAGGTGTATAATTTGGATAAAAAAATTGGCTTTCAGATGGAAAAATCAAAGTTGGAAACAGAATTGTTAGACCCTAAAGTTAAGAATTTGTCAAGAATGTATAACTTGCTGTTGAAATGGAATACTCGAGATGAAATGGTGAAATCTGCTATGATTAAATGGGCACAAGATGTTGGACATAATATTATGATGGCTGACTGGGAACAGTTATGGACCACTGGTATGAAGTTTACGGCATGCAATGCCTTAAAAGAGAATTTAATGAAAATGATTTATAGGTGGTACATAACACCAGTCAAGCTTGCAAAAATCTATCATTTGCCTGATAATAAATGTTGGAAATGTAATGAAACTGAAGGTACATTCTTTCACCTTTGGTGGACATGCCCAAAGATTAAGGCATTCTGGGAGATGATCTATAACGAAATGAAAAAGGTATATAAATATACCTTTCTGAAGAAACCAGAGGCCTTTCTCCTGGGCATGGTCGGCCAATTGGTGCCAAAGAAAGATAGAACTTTCTTTATGTATGCTACAACAGCAGCAAGAATACTTATTGCAAAGTATTGGAAGACACAAGATCTACCCACCAGGGAAGAATGGCAGATGAAGCTGATGGACTACATGGAACTGGCGGAAATGACTGGCAGAATTCGAGACCAGGGAGAAGAGTCGGTGGAAGAAGATTGGAAAAAATTTAAAGTATATTTACAGAAATATTGCAAAATTAATGAATGTTAGAAGGATGCTGGAATGAAGTTATATGGTTTTAGCAGAAATGCTATAAAGAACTAAGTAAAAATAGATCGTTAATGGACCGAAGTGGAAAATTTAAGGTTAGAGTGTCTTAAGTTAAATTTTAGAACGAAAATTGAGAAAGATGGAAAGGACTTGCTGAAATAGCTAATTGAACTAGAATACAAAAAAGGGAGGTGTGAGGAGGTCGATGAAACAAGTATATGAAAGGTAAAGATATGGAAAGGTTGGATGTGTTTTTAAATGTTTTTGTTCTATTTTTCTTTGTTGTTTTATTGTATTGTTTTATTTTTTCTTTGATGTATTGTAAGGTATTGTTTTGTTTTGTCTAATTCTTTATTGTTTTCTTTTCCTGTTCTCTTTTTCTGTAATTTGTAAACTCTTAATAAATATCTTAAAAAAAGAAAAAGAAATAATCTTTCTTTACAAAATTATTCCTTCCCCCATTCCCCATGCATTTTTGCTTTCGCTAAAGCACATTATCTTTCAAGTCTGTACTCTCAGCCTATACTTTGATATGAAAATATGAAAAGGCTTTAAAATACTGGAAAAGGAAAGGGCATAAGGGATTAAATAACATTTCTAACATAATAGACTATAAAAAGCTTACAGAAGGTATTCTGCCCAAGCCCAGGTCCCTAGTGTTAAAGAAGCACAGATGCTTATTAATTTTATATTTGTGCATTTACTTAGTTTTACTCTCTGTCCAAGAGGAAAGTATTTTTTATTGTCCACCTACAAGTGGACTACATCAATGAGATATGCAAGGCTAGAGTTGCTAAGTATGTGAAATCAAGGCATTCAGGGGATTCTTCCTTTGTTTCCAACAGAATATCCACTGGCAAAATCTACTATAAGTACAAGTGAAAGGACTTTCTCATTACACAAACAGTAATAACAGGCACATTCAACAGGTAGATCATGATCTACCGGTAGGTCACTGGATGTTTGTGGTAGATCACTGTCTCCCCCAAAGAATCTCCCCTAAAAAAAGCTCAAGAACTTTGACATGAACCCCGAAAAAGGGGGGGTAGATCACTGCCAGATTTAACTCTGTGAGATCGCAGCTTCTTGGGAGTTGGCCACCCCTGATCTATAATATCTCTCATCTTTGTTGTTGTTGTTGTTGTTGTTGCTGCTGCTGCTGCTGCTGCTGCTGCTGCTGCTGTTGTTGTAAAAAGGCTCCCACAGCAGCCCGGCCCTCGGGCTCACAGTCTGAGAGCCAGGACGCAAAAGGGAAAGAGACTGGAAGGTAGGATGAAAAAAGCAAGCTCAGGCACTAGTTCTTAGCCACAGCGATTTTGTAGTGAACAAAAGGAACGAAAAGGTTTGAAAAGGGGGGACTAAACACTGCTGGTCTTTCAGCAGAGCCAGTGGAGGGGACCTGCAGTCCTGACTCTCACCCTCTGATATAACTTGATGGAGGAATAGCTGTTGATGGTTGAGAGAGAGGCCTGTTGTTCATTCAGCAGAGCCAATGGAGAGGCCCTGCGATGCCACCTCCTGCTCTCATTATATAAATAGCCTTGAGATGTTTAAAAATGTACGATAAAATATACATAAAATATTACATAACTCTATAATCCCAACCCAGCCTCACATTACAGGGACTTAACTCCCTCTTTCACCACTGAGAAGTAATCAAAACTTATTACATCCATCTTAAATAGATGAATAATTGCTTCCACATACACATTATTAAAAGAGTGGGCAAAAACCTTTTCTAAATCCCTGTCCATATTTATTGGCACTCCAAGAATCTTCTGTCACTTGGTGCTTTCCTTACATAAACACATCAATAGCAGACAGAAAGGCCTGTTCAACCTTTCTCCATGAATACAAACCGTGCATGGAGAAGAGGACAGCAGGACTATGTTGCTGACCTCAGCCTCAATAACCTGCAAATGTGGAAGGCCTCAGGGGTTTATGCACTTGTCAATTAATTTCTACCAAGAGGGATTGGCAACAAAATGTTGCAGTGCAGAGTGCTCCTGTTCTGGTTCCCAGACCGTCATTCAGTCTTCCAGGATACAGTATTCCATTCCATTTCCCCACCCTGCTTATTTGATTTCCCCCCTCAATGGATACCTAGTTACTAGGCATTCACAATTATCTCTAGGCTATTTGGGGTGGTTGCCCCTTATGGTTTTATTCATCCTAGAAGATTTGTTGTACTTCTCTAGTTTCACAGTGACCTTGTTTTGGCTTCAATTCTGTCAGAGCTATAACAGGAACTCATTTATCTAACATTTTAGAAATGATTTTTGAATTGCGAACAGTGCTCCTGAATGTTACAATTTAAAGTAGCAGTTGTGAAACATTTCTAATATATATTAAATGAAGAGATAATGCATACCCTTTGTGGGCTGTTTCCATCCCCTACAGATTAACATTATTTGTGTTATAGTTTTATAGCACAACACCCTTCCTCCTTGCCTTCCTACAATACCATTCCCAGATTGTTTTGTGGTAAATTCTGATTGCCGACAGAAGCAAGTTTCATGTGTGTTGACTGCAAATACAGTGGTACCTCGGGTTAAGTACTTAATTCGTCCCGGAGGTCCGTACTTAACCTGAAACTGTACTTAACCTGAAGCATCACTTTAGCTAATGGGGCCTCCTGCTGCTGCCACGCCGCCGGAGCACGATTTCTGTTCTCATCCTGAAGCAAAGTTCTTAACCTGAAGCACAATTTCTGGGTTAGCGGAGTCTGTAACCTGAAGCGTGTGTAACCTGAAGCGTATGTAACCTGAGGTACCACTGTAACAGGTTATAAGACTGGTCTCTTGAACCTTCCAGCATGTGCTGGCTATCACAGCTCAAAAGAAAAAGCTCACATATGAGTGAACCACAAGTGGTAACTGAAAAGAATAACTAGCCTACTATAGCAGATATGCAGGGAAGATTTCATTGGGGCTCACACCATATAGATTCTATCCCGGCATCATTGGAGAGGAAGGGAGGTACTCAAAACAGACCACATAAAGGCTTCTGAATAAATCCTTCACTGAACTGGATTCAGTGGCTATGAGATGGGGATTCTTTTGCTGTGCATTTGAAACACTTATGGTTCCCATCTCATTCAGCACATGGAAGGGCTGACATACAGTACAACAGAGGATCCAGCCGAAGAAAGTGGACTTTCCCATCCAATGTCATCCAGGAGGAGGCTGAAGAAGGAAACAACAAAAATGCCTAATTCTGTTCTTCTAGTGGGAGCATCCCATGAATGGAGTTCTGCTCACAAGAACACTGAACCCAAGCCCCACATGAATTGTTTACATGAAACACGCTTCAGGGATAACAAATGAATAATTATGTAGAAGTGTATTTATTCAGATTTTAATCTGTTTCTGTCTAAACTGTGAACATGCAGAAATACCAACACCGTAACCCTATACATGCCTACTCCGAAGTCCCATTTAGTTCAATGGGACTTACTCCTAGGTAAGAGGTTATAGGAATGCCACATAAATGAAATAGATTAGGACTGTGAGTTTAGAGGGAAAACTGAATTTGCTGCCCAGTGACTGGGCAGAGCAATAGCTAAAATATATCCACCCCAGAAACAGTGATATGACAGGCAAAAATGTTATTCTAATCACAACTTCAGTTCATTACCATTTATAATATTATTAAGAACATTTAGAGAAATCAAGGAACAGAAATGATTATAGTTTTATAATCAAAGTGTGCAGAAAGCATTTAGAAGCCCTTGCAGGAAACAAACAACTCAATCTTGCGCTGGAATATTTAAAAAATACATTATAGAAACCGAGTTAAATGAACATATTGCATTATTTTTCTCCTTCTTCAAATAAAGTTCTGTCTGCTATGGATATTTATCTTGAAGCTGTACCCACAACAAGTACAGCTACAGAGCCATATTTTCAATCATGTGCAAGTGAGCTACAGTGAATTAAGATGTCCTGGCCAAGCAGAAACCCTTGGAAGTTGTATAGCTGTTTTCTGCTTACATTTGTGTAAGTGTTGTTGCTGATATAAGAAACAATCTGCAAAGGAAATGTGCAAGTTTAAAGATGATGTCATGGGACAACTCAGCACCAGCACTGCTGAAGACACAGATGCAAACACGTTGACTAAGGAAGTATTCAAACATGGCAGAAATCCCTTTTCTGCTATGAAAGATTAAATGAGCACAGGTTGGGGCAGCATCACAGCAGCAAGTTCCTCTCCTTCTTTGTGTGTCCATTGTGTGTGTAGGGAGCCTGCACATGCAAATGTAAGAAGATAAGAAGAGCCCTACTGGATCAGAACCAAGGCCCAGATATTCAGCATTCTGTTTCTACAGTAACCAACCTGATGGCCATGGAAAGGTTACACGCAGGACATGAACATGGATTGTATGTATGGAAACAGCGGAAACCCAATGAAATTAACGGGCCTAGTCACTCTGAGTTATGACTAATATTGGATACATCCCCTTATAATGAATGTACAAGGGAGCAGGAGGACTCTGCCACTGTGATGTTCATTTAAAATGTTTTTAATAGCTCAAAAGGGGTAAAGTGTAAACCAAAAGCAAACTGTAAACCAATAAACTCAGTTGCATGGATTGATCACACATCCACAGTCAACCTCAGCAGCAAATCTGCACTGGTACATACAGAGCACAAATGCCATAGAAGAAATAAAGGGGAATAAGCAACAGCGCTGTCTTTAGCATATGCGCCACCGGGGTGCAAAGATATGCCCAGCACCCCCAAATTTAGTTTAGTCCCCAAATTAACTTTTATTATGGTTATATCAGACACTACGCTTACGCCTTATCTCTTTTTTACAAAAGAAGGGAGGAAAGAGAAACAAACTTTTTTATTTGCTCATTTATTTACAATACACTTATACTTAAGTATACAACACCACCACACTTAAACTTATAAGTATTCTTTAAGCACCTACTTAGGAGAAACATCAGTCGTGTCAAAGGTGCCACTGACCCCGCTGTGACATAGCAGCTCAATACAATACGTAACATAATATTTTGATGTAAGAGTTAATTTCGTGTGCACAGCCCTGTTGTGAATGACAAGCACCATTGTTGAGTCTGACAAGTGCCGCCGTTGTGAATGAGAAGCGCTGGTGCGGCACGTCTTTGGTAAATGAGCGCACAAAGTCGAAAGTCCTTTAGTGAAACAGTAGGTATACATTTCAGTAATACCTAGGTATATATGTATTTTGTTTTTCTAGCTTGATCAAAATTATTATTTCATAACGGGTAGATAGTTAAGAGCTTAGGCGGGTTCAGCGCCTGGCACCCCCCAGAATTCACCACCCATGGGCCCCGCACCCCTTGCACCCCCGGGTGAAGACGGCCCTGATAAGCAAGCACTGGAATAAGCAAGCATTGATGTATTTTCACTTCTCCCAACTGATATGAAATGTATTCACAAAAATATCACTAGCACCTCTAGAGTTCGCCATTTTGACAGCACTATGATACTGCTAGTCCTGAGTTTGCTATAAGCGCACACACGCACGCACACACACACACACACAAAACTCTCTGTTTGCCAATTTCCAGCTGACCTCTCTTTTCCATGGAGGGGAAAGGATAATTACGTCAATTCTGTGAATCATATCCACCAGACCATATCTATTCCTATGATTTACTGGTCTCTAACTCACTGCTAGAGGGAGTAGAAGACACAGTGAACAGAAGAGAAACTCCTCTTCAAAGTCAATACAAAGTTGAAGAAATAAAATTCATAGCTGACTTTTATAATGCAAGTTCACTTTCACAAAAAGAAAAAGAGAGAGTAGTGTGCTTCTATTAAGAGAGGACCGTAAAACACTTCTGCAGTGAACTATTTTTTCATCTACATTAAATAAACGGAACTTTCATACATATCCCAAAAATAGCATACCTTTGTAGTGTAAATGAACCAATTATTATGTGTAAGGTTGCAGTCCTACATATACTTACCTGGGAGAATGTCCTATTGAACTCAAAGTGACTTACTTCTGACTAAATATATTATATAGGATTACACTGTCATGCTCCTCTGCACTGTGAATAAACCCAATTGAACAAAATTTAATGAATGTAATATGTTAAAATTGTTGGGATACTGCCAGGGAGACAAAGTCCATCATGGCCCCAAGCCGTCTGCCGGACGATCCATCGATCTCCCGTAGGCACGCAGTATCAGCAATTAGCGACATGAGTTTCTAGAAGATTTCTTGCCACATTCCAGAGCTCATGCACACTCTATCAGCAGATAATGCACAGCCAAAAGTTGCACTCAGGAGAGCATTATTTACAAGTTTATTCAGCGTTGATCAGAACACAGAAAAACATGACTGCCTGCTTTAGTGTCTACGACACAGAGAGAGAAAACGAAAGCAACAGAAAACATAAACATCCTGTGAACAGGAAATACGCAGACTCTGTGACTCACAGCCTGCTCCCTTTTAAGGTGGAACGGAAATATCCTAACAAGGTCCCCAAGACACCCCCACCCCAATAACACACACTTCACACAGAATTTTTGTTTAAGGTTTTTGGCATAATTTTGGCCACAACTTTATTAACATACATGGATGTGAGTGGTTGCTTAGGCATTGGTTAGGACTATCTGTCCCCCCACCTGGGGACAGAACTGACTTCTGTCAGTGAGGGGAAACAATGTTGGGGAGAACTGGAGCTGTGCCACAGGCCCTCAGCTTTTCCCCGCATGCTCCCAGGGGCTTACGCGGCCTGAACCTGATTCCAGGGGTTTGGATGAAAGGATGGCAAGCCCCTGAATTCCTTTAATGGAATTCCCTTGCAGCAGCAGCATTGGAGGGGCAGGCCCAGCCAATCCTTACCCCTCCTCCAACCAATTTAACCAATGCCTAACTGCAACCTTACAAGTTGTGACGATTTGCTACGCAGTAGGCAAAAACCAAATGGCACCAGCCAATAGGCCAAATGGACAAAATTCCTACCAGGCCCCTGCCCCAACTGCAGACGACCCCATGACAGGCATAGCAAGGTCAACGCACAAGACCCAAATTAAGGGAGGGCTGGCGGGTGATCCGGCGAAAGAGAAAGCAGATCGCTGCGAGCACTGTTTAAAAAAACTCTGTTCCCACCCCCAAATTGGCAACATCAAAATTACCCCAGCAACTCAGGCTACCAATCCCTGCCAGAGCCATCCCATCCCAAACTGCCTGGCAACAGAGGGGTGTCTTGGCTGGCCCCCACCGCAACACGTGCTCTCTTTTAATGAGAACACGCTTTGCCAGATTCAACACAGGATTTCTTCTTCTTGTGGCTCTTTAAAACTTACAATTGCACCATGACACCTAAGGTGAAAAGGGAGATTTATAGCCTATCTCTGACATTGCTCCATCCACACATTGCTTCTGATTATGAAGCAGCATGGTGTTCTCATTTGCAGCTGCCTTTCCCATTTGCAGACTCCATAAATGTCAGGAGCATGAACAGAGAGGAAAGAGAAAAGGCATCCTGGAATGAGAAAGTAAGATAAAGCTTTACACCTTCATGAGCAAAGCTCAAACAAAATTACAACCAATAAGCCATGAACTATGCTGATATCTATCCTTGATGTTTAAGAACTTTTAAACTTACTTACAGAGCAACTTCAATTCATCATGCTGCACGTTTATCTGAAATACAGCTAAATGGAATAGGCTATTCACTTTTATTTATTTATTTTTTACACCTGGATTGATGGAGCTATTTGCTGAATGTATGGTTGCCTTCCTCCCCTCTCATGTACATATGTTTATATATTACACTTTTCCAAATGGCTTTATTAATGTCCTTCAGAAAACTAACACAGTACATTTATGATGTACTAAATTAAGGGAAATAAGAAAAACGGGGAAACATTTCACATGCTTCTTTTTATTTAAAGCATGGGCTACATCAGCCCTGGAAAGTGGCCCAGTGTTGCAATACAGTACTAATATTGGGCCAGAGGGGGTGTTGGGAGAGAGTAGCGTATGAGAACCCTGCAGTGTAGTCCAGTGTTTTTATCCAGCATCTTGCTGTGTCGTATTGGTTTTGTCTTGCTTTGTTTTGTAGGGAAATGAAGGTTGGGATGATGCCCAATTCCCCATGGGGTGAGGGTATCACTGGGGTTTTGGGGTGTGGATTGTTTCTGTTTGAATAATACTAAAACGGGTATGTTCATGTCAAATCATTTCTACTCAGAAAAGAAAAGGGTGGCAGTTTATGACTTGTGGTGGTAACGTTGCTGCGGTCATCGTGAGGTATAAATAAATAACCAGCAAATGGAGACACCGTTTGCTTTTTAACCACTGAATCATGAATTAATTCAAGCACGGGCACCTGAACCTTGCTTGCTGTAAATGTTACAATCTCTTTGGAGGCACGCTCCCGCCAACCACCTGAAATACCACAACTCACCTTGAGCTGAATGTAGCGTTGCCAGCATAAAATAAACTGACCAAACAGTAACATAGTTTTACAACACTATGAGATTTTTGCTTCACTAGTTTACATTCCATCTGTCAGACATCTCATTATTTCTGTGGGGGTGTTGATTTATTTCTGGGAACTCCACGCCACCCCAAAAAAGAGGGTAAAGTTTTTGTGTCCTATGTTGTGCTTGTGACAGAAGACCCAATTCACATACAATGTACTGGGTCCAAAATATCTTGTTAGGATACCTGTACGCACCACCAATGGTGCCAGCTAGGCACTTGTGATTCACTAGCTGGATGGAGGAAAAAAATTGTTTTACATTTCCTTATTTATTTTCTTAAAGAGACTTTAAATGCCCTTAGAAAAGAATACACTGGGACATACAGTGTCAAATCTCTAGGACTAAATGTAGCCTTAACCTTACTTAGGAAACTCAAACAATTTTGGCTTTTAATGCTTAGCTAATGCAAGAAAGTGTTTTGCT